AGGAATAAGAAATTTAATATCGTAAATCCATGTCTTTACTCGTAATATTAAAAATCATTGCAGATACGTAACTTGTTTGCAAGCTACATCGAGTAAACAAAATAATTGACAACAATTTTATTGCGTAAAGAGGTTTATAGTATCGCAAGGACAACTAAATTCGTTAAACGAATAGCTCGATGTATGGTTCTAGAATACACACATACCAACACAACAAACACGTATGCACACACGCACACACAGAGGCTGCAGTCGACAAACATGCTGAGTGCCTGTGTAAGTAAGGAATTGCTACATATCACTTACTAAGCAAGTCCGTTTTAAATGCAGATACGTTTAATTAAGTAGGTTTGGCTTAATCAAAAATTTTGTCAGCGCCTCAAGGTATAACTTAATTGCATAGTTTATTGCGTTATTGATAAATATGCGAGAGAAAGAAGAAACGCCAAGATGACCAACCGAGCTTAGCTGCTGAAGCTAGTGTCCACTTGGATATCTTGACCTTAGTGTATCTTTAAGCATTAAAACAATTTAAAACATAATTTATTTTTTGTCAGATAGCTGAGCGTAATACTCCGCCAACTTGGGATGAGATAATTTAGTTTACTCTATCAAACAAACCACAAAGTTTAATATCTCTGTAATGTGCAAACGATTGATCGCGCTGTGTTTGAGAACCGGCGCTTTCCCACCTCTGTTATGAGAATAATATGGAGCTCAGAGTGTTAGCTCGGCGACTAGGCGAGTGTCGCACCAGACCCGGGCGCACGTTGTGTATCGCACGCTCGTTCGCCATCCCTCGCAGCAGTGAGTCCCCGGCTCCACTTTCACTCGGCGCGATCTAGATTGCCGCCGCACCGCACCTCGCACTGCACTGCACTGCCGCGCCGCAACACGCGCCGGAATCTCCTTAAAAACACGCCACTAATAAATACTGTATGTATTTACTATTACATATGGTTCCTAACCATTATGTAATAATGTACTACATAAATATACCTCTAACTTGACAAAGATGTCGATCCTTAAAAATTATTCTCTCGTATGCTCATGTCATGTTTCACATGTGAATAATATATTGCAATCCCGCACATTCCCGCACATTCCTATGTTGTCCTCGGCGCAGTGTAACGCTAGTGTTGCGCTGATTGCGCCTGCGTTTCCCACTTATTGTCTTGTGCCTTCAATCGCGCAATCATTGCAATGACGAAGCTGCCATTTGCGTTAAAGGTGTATCCACGTCCTGTATCTCGTATCTCAGATCATTCGATCAAATTTCCGTTCGTCCATTTATATATAAAAGTAACAAAGCGTTGACCGCGCCCGCGATCATACAAACATCGGCCTTGTCCGAGAGGGCCGCCATTGTCCGCGCCGCCGCCGCCGCCGCCGCCGCAACACCACCACAGTCAGTATTGTCACATCATCACTACTATAATATAATGTCTGGAAATCATTACCATTTGTTATATACTTTGGTTGTTTACCGCGGGGTCGCAGGCTTGCTAGTTATAATCGCTATAAAGATTATTGTGTTGTGTACCATCGCTATCGTTACTGGTACGCTTCTGCCAGCGTGTTGCCAAGCTCGTCCTACTTACACTATTTTGTTAAAGAATTTCGGCTTTCTGCGTATATGCACCTTTCGTCACCGTTTAATAGATTTATGAAATTAACTTGTGCAAATCGCAAGTTTCGCGTCAGTGCGTCGGCATCCGGCAACAACTGACAGAAACCCCGCAACCCGCACCCCGCACCCCCGCCGGGCGCAACGTCCTCACCTGCACAGTCTCACACTCCGTAACGATATTGCACCAACTGTGCTTAACAAAAATCTCTTTACATTAAGGTCTAAAAAATATAGTAAAACAAAAAAGTCCTATTGTTTTTAAATGTAACCAAATGGCAAAATGTAATCAATATCTACAAGATATTAATTCAGGTAGTAAATTTTGTAAATCGTTATTTTGTTATCGTTATTTTCCGTGAAAAAAATATCTATACAAGTACACTGTCAAAATGAAAACGAACATATGGGAAAAAACTAATACATTTTGTAGAATTTAAAAGGTTGCATCCACAAAAACATTGCCGGCGCAAGGTAAAGCGACCCCGCGCACGCGCCCTCGCCCTCCGCACAGCAGGCAAAAACTTTTGTTGTTCATACTCCAAACTATTTTAGATTTTTCCTGTTATCTTGGAAGGTTGCAGTGAGCTGCTACTGAATTATAACAGAAATAATTCAACAAACTTTGCTTAACATTTTGTCAAATGTAACGTTTACTTAAAACAACAGCGCCCACAACAAAACCAAACTTAGAGCAATATTTTTCAAACCGAATACTAGAATGCAACAATCAATCCGTCATTTTCGCCTATGTTTGGTTGAGACGTTTTTAACATTTTTTCCCGTCCTTTCGTTTTACATGCAAACCTAAGTAGCATCTTCCCTCCAATCCCAATGCCGTTTGATAACTATAACTCGAAATCTCGTTTAATAAAACCACTTTTATAACCCTTTTAACAACTTGTATATATTGTGTAATTTCCAGGCGGGGCGTTCGAGGGCGTCGAGGACCAGGTGTCGCCGTTCGGGTACGGACGCGGCGAGGGCGTCGACGCCGGCCACGGCGACCCCGAGTGGATTTGCAGCAAGGAGAAGCCGCACTACGACCAGATCTTCCACTCGCTCAACCCCATCGATGGCAAGGTCACCGGCGCGGGTACGCACGCTCTCTCTTTATCTTATTCTCACATGCCGCCCCGCACGCAGCCGCAGGACACAGCGCTGCGCGCGCTGCTCGACTCCGCGCGCAGCTGCTCCCGCCTGGCGGACCTCTGCGGCGCGCTTGCGGATAGACATGAACAGAACGAACACTTCGACAAGGTCATTCAAGTCTTGAGCGTCACCACACAAAATTGTAACATCCTATCGCAATTCTTGTACCGAGAGCCAGCGGACTGCGAGCCCGGCAACATTTCCTCCGCCGTGTCCATTCACACTCTCAACGAAACTTTAGTTTCCGAAGACGAAGACAGGGTAGACAGCGTAATGAATAAAAAAGACAGCGACGATGATACCGACGCGGAAACCCCGGTTAAAAGCCGAAGCGACGAGACCGTGGTCTCGCCAGCGCCCGGTGTTTTCCAAAGAATCTGGTGTGCGATAAAAATATTTTTTCTGATAATTGTAAACTTGATAATGTTGGCGGTGATGGCGGAGCTGGTGTTCCTGTGCGCGGCGTACCTCGCCACCGGCGAGCTGCACGTGGAGCTGCGCGTGCCGCGCGCGACGCACGCCCACTCCCTCTACGACATGGCGAAGGCGGCCGTCTTTGGCGCACAGGAGGAAGTCGTGCAAATTCGATCCGTCTTCCAGCTCTTTAGCCGCCAAAACTTTGTGAATATTTTGCAACTGCTGACGGAGTCTCTGCGCTGAAGGTGGAGCAGCCCGTGCTCGGTGTCATTCACCCTAATGTAGCGTTTGTCGAGAAAACTCCTATGAAAATCACATTTCTTCCATGACTTTGTTGTTACGAATGTCGATAATTTCCCCTCGAGGAAAAAATCGATTTTGGACCTCTCATTTCATTTTGCAACTTGTTAGGCATTCGTTCTGTTCATTTTTTCTATATAATTTCATACCTTAACTCCTACGAAAGCATGGAATATGTTTGAGTAGCTATGTCGCCGTATATAATGGGCTTTAATAACAGATAACGGTAACTTTTCGACAGCTGCGAAGACGGAGATGGTGAAGTCGAAGTTGCCGAACTCTGTGCTCGGCAAGATCTGGAAGCTGTCGGACATCGACAAGGACGGCTTCCTGGACGAGGACGAGTTCGCGCTCGCCATGCACCTCATCCAAGTGAAGATCGACGGCCACGACCTGCCCGCCGAGCTGCCGCCGCACCTCGTACCGCCCTCCAAGCGCAACTAGCTGCCCCGCGCCCTCTCTGAGGATACGACGTTCTCTAATGTTTTCATATAATGAGATGACGTCCAAACCGCTTTAATAAACTGTAAAACGTGTAACTTTCATATCTGGAGAGTGCGGCGCTCGGCTATCAACACAACTGTTAATGTTTACTTGATTAAACGGTAAAATTTGTTTTGTTTTGTCATAGAAAACCGTACAGCCTTACGAAACGTCGCAGCGTGCAGGCTCGTCCCCGTACCGATTTTATTATTTGTATGTTAGTTAATTACACGTGTACGCACAATTTTATGAGGTTTATGGTTCACGAAAAAAGAATATCATAATCAACATAAATATGCAAGGTGTGCGGCGGCCGCGAGGTGTGCTGCTTGTTGCCCCTTGCTGCCTTCTGCTTCGACACTCTGCTCACTCTGACACGGGAAGGTACCCCCCCCCACCAGTTCCCGAGTCACCCCAACTACTAACCAGTAAGACGCAGTGCAACGCGCGAGCAATGCCTCTACGCGGAGGGGCAATACTTAGCTGTACGATTAATTTATTCCAAGAGTTAAAACGTTTGGTGCTCGCAGAGTTTTCATTTATATTTGATGTAAATTTATAAAGATGAGTTTACTTTTAAGTACATTATCATATTTTGCAATTAGTATTGTTTGTTACATAAAATTTATTTATTTAAATACTAAGTTGTATCGCGGATTCTTAACACTTTACGTTTTATTCGTACAAAATTTGTTCCTATTAAAAAATTGGCTTTGCTTTATATTCTCGAGACCTGCCTCGGCGCTCGGCTGTCGGCTGGCGGCAGGCCAGGCCGCGGTGTTTCTGCAATCTAATATTTAACTCGCTACTATTTATGCTGCATTTATCGTAATACACTTCATAGTTGAGTGCGTTTCCGCAGTCTGCAGCTAGCGCCCGCGCCGCCCGAGGCGGGCCCTGTGTAAATACCTTATTTTGTATGTGTTACAAGTTTTGGAACATGTCGTCGCGACATTTTTACATTTGCTACTATGTGTACATAAAATATGTAAATGTATTTATCATAAATTATACAGAGAGTGTAATAAATAGTTAAGAAAACTCGCTGTTTTATTTCTGCCTCACTTCCAATGTTCACAAGGAATTCTTAGCATGACACCGCACGAGGCGCAACATTCGTAAGTATCTCTTTCACCTTTTAATTTTATATCCTTCCTATTAATGAAACGAAACCAAAGGTCATACTCCTATCGCATTTATATAATAATAAAATGTTGGATAAAGAAATAATAGATCAAATAAATCGCAAGTAGCAAGGAGAACGTTAATTATGAGTGTAGAAGTACACCAGTAGAGGTAGAACAAGAAAGAGGTGGATGGATGGATTGCGTGAAAGGTGACATGATCAAGAAGGGAGTGATGACTGAGATGACGGATGATAGAGTTATGTGGAGGACAAAAACTTGCGCTACTACGGGAGTAGGAAATGGAGAAAAATGATGTGATCAGACTTTGTTAAAATGAATCTTCCTTGCTACAGAGAATGAAGCAATTTTAACCTGATAGAGGATGTTTATCACGTGTATGTAAGTTTATTTTTATGAGTTTGTATGTGAATATATTTGTGACTGATTTTGATGAATTGGACTATATTATTCTATGGAGTGTGACAGGACTAGTTACCACAGGTTAATCTGTAAATATATTGCGACAATATAGGAAAGTAGTAAATCCACTGTTTCTTTTATATGTACATTTATTAGAACCATTACAATGTTCAAAATAATGTCTGTGAGACAACTTATGTTTAGTTTACATGAAAACAATGACAAAAATCCAAAACTTTTAGAAATAACACTCTATATTGATAACAAAGACATCACATTCCATCAAAGAATTGCATGACAGCTGGTTCCTGTCCACTGCATAGTGCCCACAAACAGTTGAATCTCAATAAACATTACCCCCGCTTATAGTGAGACCCTACTGTAATTTACATGAGTCTTAAAATATAGTTATGTCAGTATCTTAACAATAATGCATAAAGAAAGGTATTCTCTACTTGTGTAATGATAAAAGTAAACCACATAGACTCAAATAATTGATGGCTCCTACATAGTCCAGCCTAACACAGGTGTGACCATCAAGGCAACAGCCAACCTGAAGTGGGCCAGTGTGATTGACAGCCAAGTCACCCCTAGCTAAAAGCAAGCTCTGAGGAACTCAGTGGGGAGATATAGTGAGCTGTGATCTAGTGTAGGCTACAATTTCCACTCTGCTACTTTTTACTACTATTCTCTGTGTAAATTTAAAAGTAATATTAGAAAAAAGAACTATAGACTTTGGTTTTATATTGTATGTTAATGTTATAATATTTAAAGTTTTGTCTTGCAAAATATGTGTTTGACATGAAACAATTTACATAGGAGCCATCACAATCTCATTTTGTTAATAATATAATATTGATGGAAAAATGACAAATACATATTACAAATCTGCAAGCACCAGTACAGGAAACAAAAGCAAATAAAAGCATGACAAAACAGAAAGAAAAAACCATCACAAGCTGTCTATAGCAAATGTAATGTGTGGCAGCGGGCTTCGCTTTGCAAACTAAATATGTATCTCAGTTTGGATGATTAACATACATGTATCAACAAGAGTGAGAAATGAAGGCCATCAGTCTATCACACTCCATGTGCTGGGCCAGACCATCATTGCGCTGGGGGCTGCTCATCCCCAGGGCCTGGTGGGCGCACCTGCCGTCGCAGCTGGTCCACCAATTCAGGGTTGGCCGCCTGCATGTGCTGCGCCAGGGCCTGGCTCGCCTCCAGAAGGACATTCATTCTTCCACTGCCCGGGGTTGATGCTGTATTGTTCATCAGCCCAGATATAAGGTTCTGCATATTAGGATTGGAAAGCATCTCCGTTGCCATATTTAATAGGGCCGGGTTCTGTAATAACCCACCCAAGTCCAAGGTCTCCCGTGGACTTGCCTGAAGAAGCTTTTCTTCGGCCAGGCGCAAGTTCTCTTTGTAGGACTCGTTATCTGGGTCGAGTTGCGCGGCGCGATCGAAAGAGGCGCGCGCCTCGACGTTCCGGTCCAGTGCCGCCAGCGCCAGCCCCAGTCGCCCGTGTGCCTTGCCGTAGTTCGGCTGCAGCGCGAGGGCCTCCATGCAGTCCGCTATCGCCGCTTCGTGCTCGCCCAGCTTGAAGTGCGCGGCGGCACGGTTACAATAGTACACTGCGTTGCGTGGGTCAATTTTGATCGCTTTCGTGTACTTGTCGAAAGCTTCGCGGAACTTATCCGCTTTCATGCAATCGTTACCTTCATTTTTTAGTTTCTCCGCTTCGGCGCGGTCGACGGTGTCGTTGCCGCGTTGTTGCCGGATCAACTGCAGCAGATCTATGCCTTTGCTCAGCTCTTCCTGGCTCAACTCAAAACCGGTCTCTATGCACTGAACGCCGACTTCTATGCTTTCTTTGGAGTCGCTGTTTAACGACTCTCCTTCTAGTTGCTGTCTCAAAAAATTTACTATACTTGCTGCGACAATTTTTATTTCTGACATTTTGAGTAATTAAATTTTCAAGTAGATCAATAGAAAAAAAGAAATTGCAAGAAGGAATCAAAAATTTCCTTGACAATAACTTCAAGACCATTCAAGACGTGACAATTGAATTGACAATTTGTACAAAATGTCAGATCATTCCCTGTTTTTTTTAATATTACCAAAACAACAAACATAGAGCCACTCGAGTTTTGTCTGTTTATAGGGTTGTCTTGTCGTTTCCTGCTGATTTGCTCTCGCGAATCTGACACGGAAAAACTGATAATATGTATGCGTATACGGTTTTAATGTGTATAAAATTCCAATACGGTCCAAATCATTGCAATTATTGCTCTAAATTGTATTTAGATGTGTAGGGTTTAACATATTTATATCTTGTAATGCAAATTGGTAAAATTGTACTATTTAATAAAGCAAAAATACAAAGCTTTAATAAAAGGAATAAAAGGAATGCAACATTGCATGCACTGTCAAATCAAGACAAAGTCAATTGTCAATGTCACCAGCACAGCATGCGTCATTGCATTGTCAAATGTCGACGATGTTGTAGTAGTTACAATAATAACAAAGTTTTACAAAAAACATTATCTTCTTGGTAGTTTACATTTCTAACACGAAATATCTGCTAATTTTTGGAAAAAGTTTAGTATTAGCGACAAAACCATGGCGCTCTACGAGGGCATTGCGCTTATTCAAGAAAAACAAGCAGTTGTCTTGGATCTGGGCACCGATTACACCAAGTATTAAATCTTTTAATTTGTTTGAATGTACATAAAGTCACTTCTGAAACTGACTTGTCTAGATGGGAATCTAAAAAATACTCTAATGCACCCCATCATTCACCTCCCTGTTGCCTTCTGCTTGGTAACAACTGAATGACGTTATTAATTTGCTACTAATATCTCTTTTTAATTTAATTTAAAATAATAAGTAAATGAAAAATAGGAAATTTTTGACATTGTTATATTTATTGTGTTAGAGCAATGTTGAATATAATTGCAGGTTCGGGTTCACGGGCGAGCCGGCCCCGCGCTGCATCGTGCGCTCCGAGTTCTGGTGCGAGGCGGAGCGCCGATACAAGCGGCTGCACGACTACCGCACGCCACAGGAGCTCTATGACAACCTTGTCCATATGCTGCATTTGTTGTATTTTAGGTGTGTCTGTCTAGAAATTGTTCTAGTCTATAAAGTGACAAAAAGGTACAAATTTAAATGTTGCCTGATAAAATGTTTCAGACATGTGCTGGTGAACCCGAAGGAGCGGCGCGTGGTGGTGGTGGAGTCCCTGCTCACGCCCACAATCTTCCGAGAGACTCTCGCTAAAGTTCTCTTTATACATTATGAGGTATTGAGGAGAATCCATTTTAATAAATAAATATTCACCGTCCTGAGAAGAAGTATTACCAAATATGTGCATGTGGACCTCAAGTGAGAAACGACATCCATATCATTCCATCGGTTGCTTTATCAAGATGTGGAACGGTGGCTAGTGTAGTGAGGGGCATTTGCGCAGGTGTCG